CACAGGCTCCGGACGTGCAGGCTCAGCGGCCATGGCTCACGGGCCCAGCCGCTCCACGGCACGTGGGATCTTCTTGGACTGGGGCACGAACCCGTGTCCCCTGCATCAACAGGCGGACTCTCAACCACTGCGCCAACAGGGAAGCCCCATTTTTTTTTAAGGTGTCTTTTTTGTGGTCCTCCACAGCCCCTCTCTTTAAATCATTCTCCACTCACCTGATACTTCCAAACCCTCTCCAAATTCTTAGTCTTAGTGAAAGGAATTGCCTCAGAACTAACAGGCCACTTTTAGGTTAAACTCCTACCCTGCTCATATCTCCTTTGTGGATTCTTCTAAGATGCTGCTCTTGGGAGGAAAGGAAGGAAAAGGGAAAGTGGCTGAATTTCTCTCCTGCCTGCCTGGGTGAAATGTAGTACTCTAACCATACTGTTCTAAGAAAAGGCTTCCCCAAACTGTTGGTCCCCATGATGAGATCTGGCCAGTCATCCTCCTGAATCCCAGGATTGCAGGGCTCTCACATTTGGTATAACAGTGCACCTCAGTGGCTCCCAGACTTGAAGAAAATTGGTTATATCCCAAGTTTGAACATTTCCTACCTTTTCCATCACCCTACCTTCTTTTGTTGAATTATTTTTATCCCCTTTGAGATAATTATTTTCTTTTAATGAATATTTGAGTGCTTATCGTATGCCAGGACTGCTTTTGGCCCTTGGGAGAAATCAGTGAACAAAACAGAGAAAAACAAACTAAAAAACAAAACAGAATTTCTCCCGTGGAAGGAACTAACAGTTCAGTGGAAGAAGAAAGATAGTATTATAAATATGTACATTCTTTTGTGAAATAAAAGGTGATGTTATGAAATTAGGAAAAATATAATAGAGTAGGGTCATAGGATTGAATGTTGGGTAGGTAGGAGTGTTGTGATTTTAGATAAGGTGGTCAGAGTAAGTCTCTTGGAATAGGTAGGTTTGGACATGGACTTGAAGGAGGTAGAAGTGTTCGCCATGGGGATATCTGGAAGACAAGAATTTCAGGTGGAGACTTCGAAGGGAGCAGCAAGGAAGCCACTGTAGCTGGATTGGAGTGAATGAATGTTAGAGTAGAGAGAGGAGAGGTCAGAGAGGTAGCAAGAGTGGAAATGGTGGGACTTCCCTGGTGGCACAATGGTTAAGTAATCCACCTGCCAATGCAGGGGACACGGGTTCGAACTCTGGTTCGGGAAGATCCCACATGCCACAGAGCAACTAAGCCTGTGCGCCACAACTACTGAGCCTGTGCTCTAGAGCCCGTGAGCCACAACTCCTGAGCCCGCATGCCACAACTACTGAAGCCCGCGCTCCTAGAGCCCATGCTCCGCAACAAGAGAAGCTACCGCAATGAAGAGCATGTGCACCACAACGAAGAGTAGCCCCCGCTCACGGCAACTAGAGAAAGCCTGTGTGCAGCAATGAAGACCCAACACAGCCATAAATAAATAAAATTTTTGAAAGAGAGAAGCCCTCAGGCGAAGGAAGGGGTTTATGTCAGGGCGACCTCAAAAATAAAGTAAAAAAAGAAGAGTGGAAGTGGTGGTGAGGGTCTGTAAATCCTTACTTTTTATCTCAGTCCATTCTATGGAAATAGTCTTGTTTTTTTGACCATGAACAACCTTGGCTTAATAGTTGTTCTCCTCCTCGACTCCCAGGCTAGATTAGACTCTATTTTTGCATTCCTTTATCATCCTGAGCTTATTTGTGAAAAAATATTTGTTAAAAAATATTTATGAAAAAATTACTTTTGTTTTGCTCAGTTGCCCTAGGATAGAATCCAAATGTTTATGGCAGTTTTAAGGATCCTGTGAAACCCCCATTTCCCCCAAGGGTCTGTGTTTAATGGATGTTAAATTCTAAGGCAGCAACTGTGTGGGGTTAATGGAGTAGCGGGAAGAAGGAGTGGTGGAGAAGGGACTTGAGTGCTGTGGTGGAGAGAGAGTGACAGGGTTGGGACAAGAATCTGGAGGAGCAGTAATGGGTGAAAAGAGTCACGGGCAAGGGAGAATGGTGAGGGTAGGTACCAGAGGAGTCCTAGTGGTGTAATCTCAGGAAGTTACTTAAGAGGGACTGATGCCTGAAAAAATCTGTTGTGTGGCTATAACAAAACCCATTTAAAGGGCCGTTGTTGAAATGCACAAGAATAACCTGGGAGGTGGGTCATCACCCACTGTTCTCTCAGCTATTTTTGGAGTGAAACCTCTCATTGGCTCCTTGGACAGCCCTTGGCAACTTTGTTGGTGGGGGAAATGAAGTGATTTTTGAGGACTCATCCCTTAGATCTAGCAGGTCTTGGCATGTCCAACCTCCCTACCCCGAATTCTCAAGTTTCTGGTAATTGTAGAAAATAAGGACACTAGAGGAGAAGTGATAAGAAAATTCCCATGGTCTGTTGTTACTCTTGTTCTAAATGAACGCATTCATTAACTTGTTTGTTTTATGTATCATTCTTTCTCCACTCTTAATTAACTTTTCATCTCCGATGATTGGTTGGATGAAAAGTTAATCAGTATGGTCAACAGCTAAAAATTCTACGAAGATCAGTTAGGTGAAAGTTCAACAATGTTATTGGAACCCAGTTTATTTTTATTTTTTAAAAACAACAAATTTATTCCCACAGTTTTGAAGGCTGGAAAGTCCAAGATCAAGGTGCTGGCTGATTTGGTTCCCCACTGAGGGCTCTCTTTCACCTTCTTCCTGTGTCTTCACATTTGGGGGGGTGTTGGGGGAAATAGAGAGGAAGCAAGCTCTGTGATGTCTCTTCTAGGCACTAGTCCAGTCATGAGGGCCCTCATGACCTTATCTAAACCTAATTATCCCCCAAAGACCCCATCTTCAAATACCATCACATTGGGGGTTAGGGCTTCAACACGTGAATTTCTGATTCAGACAAGGTTCTCAGAGTAAATTGATAGAAAACATGGAATTAATGGAGCACACTCTGCTCTACAAATAAAGGTTCATATTGATGAGAGTTACTATTTATTAATTCATTTAACAAATTCTGTATTTGTTGAGCTCCCATGCTATGCTAGGCAATGTTCTTTGTGCTGGTGATCGAGCAGTCAACAAAAGACAATTCCTGCCCTTTGGAGTTTACATTTTACTGGATAGACAATAGAAAATAATCAAGATAAATAATGTTTATAATATATTAGGTGGTGATAAATGCTTATAGGTGGAAGAGAAGGGAAGAGAAATTGGGAATGTGAATTAGAGGTTGGTTGGAGTATTTGAGAACCTCTCTGAGAAGAAGGCTTGGAACAGAGCCCTGAAGGTGGTGAGGGGCCAGCCATGTAGGTATCTGAATGATGAGCATTCATATTAGAGGGACAACAAATATAAAGACTCTAAGTAAGGTAAAGTGTTTAGTTTGTTCAAGAAATAGCAAGGAGGTTAGTGTGGTTAAAGTGAAGTGGATGGGGGAGAGGAGTATGAGATAATTGCAGGGGACAGTATGTAGGGTTGGAAGTGTGGTCTTACAGGCATTGGAAGGACTTGGCCTTTTACTGAGTGAACCAGAAAGGCATTGGAAGGTTTTGAGCTGAGCAGTGATGCAGTCTAATTTGTTTGAACAGCATTACTTTGCCTGCTATGTGAAGAGACAGGTGGAGTGAGGCACAAAGCACTGTTGGATTTAAGTTTAGTAGGGAAGTCAGGATTAGAGGAAGAAATTTAGGAGACATCAGTGTTGAGTTGGGGTGAGATTATCAAGAGAGTTCATTCCCAATTTGCTAGGCCTGTGCTAAGCGCTTGACATTGAATTATGCTATTTGTTGACCATATGTAGATACTCTTATTCTATTCTTTGAAGTTGACACTTCTTTTCTATATTAACATATATGAAATCAGTATGTGTGAATCAATTTATATATGTGCATTTAATATAAATTTTCTTCCAATTCTAGTACAAAACAAGATGCCATTGAATATTTGATGCTTTTTCTTTTTTTAAAATTTATTTATTTTTTTTTTTGGCTACGTTGGGTCTTTGTTGTTGCGCGGCTTTCTCTAGTTGCGTCAAGGGGGGCTACTCTTTGTTGCGGTGTGCAGGCTTCTCAATGAGGTAACTTCTCTTGTTGCAGAGCATAGGCTCTAGGCACACGGGCTTCAGTAGTTGTGACACGTGGGTTCAGTAGTTGTGGCTCATGGGCTCTAGAGCACAGGCTCAGTAGTTGTGGCACACAGGCTTAGTTGCTCCGCGGCATGTGGGATCTTCCTGGACCAGGGCTTGAACCCGTGTCCCCTGCGTTGGCAGGCGGATTCTTAACCACTGCGCCACCAGGGAAGTCCCGATGCTTTTTAAAAAGAGCTGTTACTTTAAGTCTAAGAAATAAGGATTTTTGCCTTTAAGATACAGAAACACATTTAAAAGTTATAAATTTTCCAAAAAAGATGTAGCTGGGCTTCCCTGGTGGCGCAGTGGTTGAGTGTCTGCCTGCCGATGCAGGGGACACGGGTTTGTGCCCCGGTCCGGGAAGATCCCACATGCCGCGGAGCTGCTGGGCCCGTGAGCCATGGCCGCTGAGCCTGCGCGTCCGGAGCCTGTGCTCCGCAACAGGAGAGGCCACAACAGTGAGAGGCCCGCATACCACACACAAAAAAAAATGTAGCTGGTTAGAATTCCAGCTTAATCTTCTTTGACTCCGGACCCCATGTTTCTAAACACTGCACAATGGTGCTTTTGTAAAAATACTCATACTTTACATGTGATTTCACCTAGTGATTAGTTGTTGGAGTTTTGGGTTTTCTTTTTTTAATAGGAGAGATCAAAATCAGCATAGGGCAAAGCTATGATTCTAGAGTCGTACAGACTTGTAATCATAGGTTTTTAAGCTGTCATTTATCCTCTTTAACTCTCAGTGTCCTTATCTGTAAAATAAGGATGTTTATAAATACCCTAGAGTTTTGGAGAGAAATAAGTAACGTATTTTTCTGTACTTAACTGATGTGTGGTATGTTTATACTTAGGTGGCAGTTTATATAAAGGAAGCACTGGGACCTGTGGCCACACCCTTCAAGAATAAAAAAATTTAGAAAATGGAACCACCATGTATGTTATGTGAAGAACAAGAGTCAGAACCGCAGAAAAGCATACAAGAAACCAAACAAGTAGACGATGAAGATGCTGAACTGATCTTCGTTGGGGTGGAACATGTAAATGAAGATGCTGAGCTGATCTTTGTTGGGATGACCTCAAATTCAAAACCAGTCGTTTCAAACATATTGAATAGAGTTACCCCAGGTTCGTGTTCAAGGAGAAGACAGTCTGGTCACGTCAGAAAAGATAATGCCCACAAATTGCGGCCTGTAAGTCATGTGATGCCTACATCAGAAGCAATGACTGTCTTACCAGTTTCTGACTCTGAGTCAAGATCAACAGATAGTCCTATTATTATTGAGCCTTTGTCTAAACCTGATTATAAAAATAATTTACTACAAGTCGTGCCTATTAGCTCTTCAGAGTCATGTTCTCCTCCTTTGATTACCTTCACAAGTTCATTGCAGCATCCAGTAGGAGCAGCACTTTCTATAGGAGGTATGAATAAAAGTCCTCGTGTAACAAAACGACTTTCCACTTCTGAAACAAATAGCACAAATCCCCAAAGGCCTAAACTCAGTAATGGAATCATAGGGGGACACTCTTTAGCTCTGGCCCCTTCAGGTATCTTTCATACAATGACAGCTCAGCAAAGCACACCCTCAGACAGTGTTCATACCTCATTAAGCCATGTTCAGAATGGAGAACCTTGTCCAACAGCTTTTCCAAAGGACAGTGTTCATTGCAAGCCTATAAGTCCTTTTGGGGAAAATGGACTGGCAAAAACAGACTTTTCGAGTCCAACAAGTCAAAACAAGACTGTTGATCCCACGAAAGGAAATCTGATCGTGTTACTTCATGACTTTTACTATGGACAGCATACAGGAGATGGGCAGCCAGAACAGAAGACTCACACAGCCTTTAAATGCCTCAGCTGCTTGAAAGTTCTAAAAAATGTCAAGTTTATGAATCACATGAAGCACCATTTGGAACTTGAAAAGCAGAGGGGTGACAGCTGGAAAAACCATACTACCTGCCAGCACTGCCACCGCCAGTTTCCCACTCCCTTCCAGCTGCAGTGTCACATTGAAAGTGTCCATACTTTCCAGGAGCCCTCTGCAGTCTGTAAAATCTGTGAGTTGTCTTTTGAAACAGATCAGGTTCTCTTACAGCACATGAAGGACAATCATAAGCCTGGCGAAATGCCCTATGTGTGCCAGGTCTGCAATTACAGATCATCAGCCTTTGCTGATGTAGAAACACATTTCAGAACATACCACAAAAACACTAAGAATTTGCTTTGCCCATTTTGTCTCAAAATTTTCAAAACTGCAACACCATACATGTGTCATTATAGAGGACACTGGGAAAAGAATGTTCACCAGTGTTCCAAATGCCGGCTACAGTTTTTAACTTTCAAGGAGAAAATGGAGCACAAGACCCAGTGTCATCAAATGTTTAAGAAGCCTAAGCAACTAGAAGGATTGCCTCCTGAAACAAAAGTTGTTATCCAGGTGTCACTGGGACCTCTTAAACCAGGATCAGTGGAATTAGCATCCATTACTGTGAACACATCTGATTCTGAACCTTCACCCCCCAGGTCTAAAAGTAGAATTTCAAAAAGACCCCATTAATTCTACTTTCAGTAAATCTGAAGCAAATACTTCAAAGTTAAAAACCCCACTAAAAACAAAAAATCCAAATCATAACATTATTCAATAACATCAAATATAGTGAAACCAATGGATCATTTATGAGGTTTTTCTAAAACCTCATGAAGTACAATATTGTTTGATCTGAATTTTGAGATATTATTTAAAAATATATTACCTGATTTTCATATAACTATCTGGCTTACATAAAAGGTGTGTGTGTGTGTGTGAATGGGGGGAAGAGAGAGAAAGAGAAAAGTGAAAACCTCTATTATTTTGGTATTTCGTGTTATTTGTAAGTTTGAAAGCTCTGCTATACATATAATCTGTAGAATTTTTTAACAACTTAATTTTATTTTCAACTTTTTCCATGCCTTGAATATTTCAATATTAACTATAGCCAGACTGAAATGGCTTTGTTATGGCATGGTCCCGTTTGCCGCTGAACTCTCAGAAGTGCCTCTGTTGTGCTGATCTAAAATAACCTGGCTCTGAAAGCCTTGGTGTGGAGAAGTTGACGGAGACCCTGTGGTGTGAATGGGGACCAGAAACAGGGAATTCAGTCAGTGGAGAGCAGTGGCTTGTCCCAGTTGAGGAAGGGGCACACATTCACTCCAGGCTTGGAGCCAAGGCAGAAGGAACACTGTCTCGGACTGTCCTTACCTAGCCCAAGGACATCCAAGGAAGCCAAACCATTAAAATAAAATGCCTGTGTTTAGTGAGGGGCCCCTGCAGGCATCAAGCAGGTACTGTGTATCATTGGCTTCAGATGGGGAAGTAGAGATAATTAATAGAATGGGACCTGGTGCCAGGGGACCTCCTTTTGACTGATCAAAAGGGGAATTTGTTCTCTCACCTCTCCCATCTGGCTGGCCTTTAGTCAGAATGAACTAGCCATATCTCTCTCAGTCACAGCAGTAAAGCAAGTTAACGTTCCCAAGGAAAAAAATCCCTGACATCCATAGTTTGATCTGTACTGGACCCATAGTTTTAACTGAAAAGGGCCAAACACATGGAATCTGTCCAGTTTATGAATTGAGCTAAGTTTAGTTCTCTTACCCTTAAGCTGGAATGGGGTTGTCCAAGAAAAGTAGGAATAGTGGATAAAAATAGTTAAGAGTGATTAAACCCATTATAGGACTTTTCCTAACATTTCCAATTACATATGTCTTACCCTAATTGAACATGTGAAGTTTGCAATTTTGTATCTTGCCTTGGACATGAATGTATTACAGTTAACAGTTAATTCTTTGTGTGTATAATTTCCCATTTTTTAAACTAATACTGAGTTTGGGTCTTACTTGACACACTCCCATGTGCCAGAAATGTCTCATTTATTTCAGTAATTATCAGGTCATAGGGTTATTATCCTTCATTTGATCTATCAACTGTCTAATCTGTGATTATACTTGCCGGAACCTTTTTCCTTGCCATCTCCAAGGGCTCTTTCACAGAACTGGGGTACCCTCTAAGTATTGGTTCCTGAACATCAGCAGCCTTGGTTACCTCTGTGGGCTCCTGGAGTTGAGTCTCTCTAGGCATGTTTAAGTGCCATCCCTTCTCACTCCACCTCCAGCCCAGGTACCTAGCAGCCTCTGTGCACCACTCAAGGAATCTGGGATCCTGGCTGTAGACCTGTTCCAGGAGAAATCTCTCCCTTTTTCTGTTGCTTTCTCCTCCTCTTTAAAGGTACTTTATCTCTCCCCACTCCTTTTGCCCCCTCCTCAATCTAGTTAAATTTTCTAAGCCTTCTCAAAATGCTGGAAAGGTATAATCATCAAGGGGTTAGCATCCCTCTTAGAATTGAGGAGGAAGGACTACAGATAACAAAGTTGTTGTGAGTATATCATCCATATTTTAATTTCCTGAGTGTAGATTCTGTTGTATTTATTTGCTCAATGCTTGATTGATTGATTTGCACTTTGAATATTTTACTAGGCCTTTCCAGTTAGTTTGCTTGGGCCAAAGCACTTTGGTAAAATTTCAGGTTGAACCCCTTTCGTTTGTAGAACGAACCCCTTTCTTTGTAGAAAGAGTGTGTGTGTGTGTGTGTGTGTGTGTGTGTGTGTTCTGGTCTCAGGTGGAAACGTCTATATATAAATAAATGTGCATACTTTTGCATACTTATCTCCCTTATTCTGTTTCTGTGGTAAAAATATGAAATGTTTTAGTTCTTTGTGTTTGTGGTTGCTCAGTGTTATCAACCCTGTTACTGTTGTTTGCTCTAAAGTATGCTCCTAAGGAGTACAAGTTGTTATTTATTGCCAACTAAGGTTCTGGTGATATGGCCCCTGACTACCTCCTCTGTTCCATTCTCTGTCGTGCTACTCTGCCATTTTCCCCACTGGTGCACTATTTTTGACACACTGGCCTTGCTTTTCCTCAAGCAAATTCCATTTCTTCTCGATCCAAAGACTGGTAACTGCTGTTCTCCTTCTTGGAAGGCTCTTCCCCTAGGCCTGCATGGCTCGCTACCTCGCTGAATTGTTTGACACTCCCTTTGGTATATTGAGCTTCACCAGTGTTGTTACAATCACACAGTGAAGTCTCCAACCCACCCCCCTTTTTTTCCTCCTCTTAAACGCACTTTAAGTCTCCACACTCTTCTTCCCTATCAGTCTAAATTTCCTAGGTTTTCACAAAAAGCTGGGAAGAGATAATTATCAAGGGCTTTGCTTCTCTCTTAGAATTGAGTTTGCTTGAGTCAGTTTCTGTGCCTGCAAATAGAAGACAATTAATAGTGAGTTGAGTTCTTTCAAGAACTTTCTCTGTTTTTCTATTGATACCTCTATATTTTTTTAAGGAATGTCACTTTGTTTTGTTTACAAATATATTGAATATCTGTCAAGATTACTATTTTGTTATTGCCCTTTGTGAATCTCCTTGTCTATTTTGCTTGTTCTTTCAGATAAAATTTATTATTTTATTAATGTTGCCAAAAATTGTAAGTAAAATTAGCAATTATAGAAATAAAATGTTTTTTTGAAAAAGTGTTTTCACTATGTTGTCTTTTCACCAGTAATGTGGCATATTTTTAGTTTTATTTGTAATCTTATTGCATTGGCCAGGACTTCTAAACAATGATGTGTAAATGGGCTTTCTTCTTCTTGGTTTAATTAGAAATGCTTTACCATCAGAGGTAATGAGTATATGGCTTAATGAATTTCTATTTCTATCTTTAAAATTTAAAGAGAATTGTTTTATTGGATAGTTTACAACATCCGTTGAGACAGTCATTTTCCTTCCTTCCTTCCCTCCCCTCCCCTCCCCTTCCCTTCCCTTCCCTTCTTTTCCTTTCCTTCCCTGCCTTTCTTTCCTTCCCTTTCTTTCCTTTCTTTCACTAACCCAAGGTTTTGCTTGGCTGGATTCACAACTTTTCTATTAGAAACTTTCTTTCGTGAAACAAAAATAATTCCACTTGGGGTTGAATATTATCCTCTCAGAATCTCATTCCATTTCTCATTTCTAGTATTGGAATTAATTTCCTCTTCCCCTTACTAGATTTGCCACAGTTTTATCAATGTTTCTGATTTACTTTTTCCAAGAAGCAACCCTTGCTTTATTATCCCAACAAGTTTTATCTGTAATCTATTTTTGTCTCAATTCATTATATACCTTCTACTTTCTTTATGATTGTTCTTTTTTATAACCTTGCATTTTAAAAGCTTTCTTTTTTTCTTTTTAAAAATTTTTATGAAAATTGATTTACAATGTTGTGTTAGTTCCAGGTGTACATCAAAGTGATTCAGTTATGTGTATATATCCTTTTTTAGTTTTCCATTATAGGTTATTACAAGATATTGAGTATTTTTTTATTTAATAAAGGATTAGGACTTTACCTACCTTTATTTAAATAACAGTTTTGTCTGAATCCCAAATATTTTGATGCATATATATTTTTTTTATTAAAATTTTCATTCTCTGTATGTTTTTTGTAAGTTAATTCCAAAGATTTCAGAATTTGCAGGCTGAATGTTTTAGTCTTAATTTATAGTTTACTGAGAATTAAGTTTTCCTTGGAGCTCTGAGTGTTTGTGTGTATGTACACTGACATGTCTATATACACATCCTTTTCAGATTACTATATGGGTTATTTTTTAAAAAGATATTTTCTGTTTGGTAAAAACGTGAAATGTTTTAATTCTAGAAATCTATTCCCCCTAAATGAATATAGTATAAAAGGTAAAGGCATGAAAATATTCATTTGAGAGTAATTCCTAGTAACAAAACTTGGAAATGTTAAAAATTATTCATAACCCCTATTAAAGGTGGTAAGAAAACCTTTATTCAAGGGAAGACTACTACAATGGGGTTTTGTAATAGGGGAGAGAGATTGAGCTTAACTCTGACTCCAGCAAGGACAAAGTTGGGATTTATAGCCAAGGATCAGAGTGGGTGTCAGTGCATGGAAACTTGCTGAGAGGAAGCATCAGGGGTAAGGGTGGATTCTAGCTAAACCCACTGATGGGATCATTGCTGAGGCCAGGCCAGGGTGATGAGATATTTAGGTGAGGGGAGAGGAATTTGATATCAAGGGTGGTCAGATCAAGGGTGGGGGATTTTTCCTGGACTAACTCAGCAGGATTCTTGCTAAAATTGGACTAAATGGGCAGAGCCCCTGGATAAAGACATAGCCCAAAGTTGGCAGTGTATTAATTAACTATTGGTGCATAAGAGATTACTACAAAACTAACAGCTTAAAAACTATTACCTCACACTGGTTCTGAGAGTTGTGAATCCAGGAGCAATTCAGCTGGGAGGTTCTGGCTCAGGGTTTCATGAGGTTGCAGTCATCTGAAGGCTTGACAGGGGCTGGTGGCTTTCCCTCCAAGATGGCTTACTTACATAGCTGTTGAAACTCCAGTTTCCTTGCTGGCTGTTGGGAGAAAGCCTCCATAATTTCATGTGGGCCTCTCTACTGGGCTACCTGGGTGTTCTCAAGATATGAGTAAGCTGGCTTCTAGAGAGAGTGAGCAAGGAGGCTGCAATGCCTTTTATGACCTAGTCTCAGACATTTCACTGTCATTTCTACAATATTCTATTCATTAGAAGTGAGCCACTAAATCCAGCCCACCCTTGAAGGAAAGAATT